CAAAGCCTTCGAACAAGCATGCAAAATAGAAACGTATCCATTTGAATTAGAATGATGATCAAAAGCGTGAAGATAGAAACTACCAAAACTGAATCAACGAAAAAAGAGAGAACGTGTTATGTGTATTAACACAATATATATATATATAAGGGCACAATAGTCCAGGTACAAATATAAAATTAGTAAAATGGACCTTATAGAATAAAAAGAAAGTATATGGGACTAATCAGATTATAATATTTCTTTGTGGATCTAATGGGCTATAACAATTCTAAAATGGATTTATCAATAAAAATTCCTTTTTTTAACTTATTAAATTATATTTTTTTTTTTACTAATAAGCCATAAGCAAAAATTACATCAAACTCTCAAAATAAATAAAAAAATTATTAATAGCTCATATAAGGCACACCAAATAACACGTAATAACGGGAATTATATAAGGAGGGAGATGAGGTATGAAACCTCTATTTTTTTGGAAGACACAAATCATATACATAAATTTTATATGTAAACTTTTGTAAGTATTGTTTGATCCACTTGAATAAGGATATAATGAAACGATCATTTATTAGAATGTTCATTATTATGTTTGATTTATTCAAAGAAATAAAAAATAAAACAATCATTTATTACTGTAAGTGAATGATCGTTTTATAATTCAATTTCAAATTTATTTTAATGAATCAAATACTATTTAAAAGTGTGCCACACTTTTTAGTCTTTAACTCTAGGGTAAATTATATTGACACCCCATTTGTAATTTTAAAATATCAATACACCTCTCTATTCCTTGAAATCACATCGACACCCTAACAATAGTATAATGAGAAAATACCAATAATATTCCTTGTTTGGGATTTTAATTTCCATCCGGTGAAAAGAATGCACAGAAGTGATAACAACTCGGCAATGATGGGAACATAAATATTTCACAAATGGCTAGTTCTACACGCGTATTCCATTTAGTTCATTATGCGCTTAATTGTGTATGCATTTAAACTTTCTAGTAAGCAAACACAGTGGACGACATGCAAGAGGAACTTTAATAGTGACTTTCGTTTGGGAAGTGGGTTGACTTTTTGATTTTTTAATTTTTTTGGTTAATTTAGCCTGAGCTAAAAAGTTTGGTTTGAGAATGATTTTTTGACTTTTTAGTTTTTTTGACTTTTTTTTTGTGAGAGAAGGGTGTAATGATTATCAATTGAATGTAATGTTTTGTTTTTTGTGGCTAAAATAACCTATTTTGTCTTTTGTGGTTAAAATAGCCCAAATAGCTCTTCCCAAACGAAAATGATTTGGTATTTCTAATAAAATAATTTCCCATAATAAATGAAAACTTTCAAGGAAAACCATATCCAACAACAGGTACCTAGAGGTAGGGGTGCAACTCGGGCGGGTTCGGTCGGGTTGGGGGTTTGCCCAAACCTGACCCGAATTGTATTTGGCATTGCCCAAGCCCGACCATGAACCCGAACATTATTGCCCAAGCCCGGCCCAAGCTTTGTATTTTGAACTCGGGTTGCCCGAATTGCCCGAGTTTAGAAACCTGTAGGTAAATCTAAGGGTAGACATAAAAGATGCTAATCTAATGGTAGAAAACTAACCAAAAAAAAATAAAAAATAAAAATTAAGAAATATATATATATATATATATATATAAATTTACACATAAAAAAATACAACTCAACTTTTTGCTGAAGTGATGGGCTATCCGAGTACTGTATTGGTCTAGAAATGATTGCCTCCTTTGCGGGCAACTATTTAGACTGTGTTGTTCGGCTTGTGGGGGCCACCATGGGTCACATTTTGATAATATGAACCGTCAATATGTAGAACTCGTTGAGTACTATATGTCTATAAAAAATCATGTTGATCGGATATCGCTAACTATATGATCAAATCAGTTTTGTATAAAAAAAAATGGATGGTGTTATAGTTAATTGGTGAACAAAAACTAACCCGATCAATGTGATTTCGATATCCGATCAATGTGATTTTTCACAAGAATATAGTACTCAACGAGTTCTACATATTAAACGGTTCAGATTATCAAAATAGGACTCGTAGTGGCCCCACAAGCCGAACAACACAGTCCAAATGGTTGCCCATGAAGGAGACAATCATTTCCTTATCTCCTACACTCTGTCCAAAAAAGGTGCTGTACAGCCTATTACACTTTACTTTTTCTACACACTTATTTATACAACTTTTTATTATACATTTTTTCATAAAATAACAAAAAGTTAACCCATACATCCATCTTTTTTTTCCTCAATTTTTTAATCCAAAAAGACAAAAAATACACTTATTTAGAACACTCCAAACAACCCCTAAAATCACAAAACCCTAAAAAAAAAAAAAAATTATTACCAACCATCAATTAATTCTAAAATAGTGATTTTATCAAAATATTTATTTTTATATTTAATTAATTAAAAACATAATACAAAATATTTTATAAGTAAAATCATGTTAAATAAATCATTATTTTTTAACAAAAATGTTTTATAGCTCGAAAAATTTCCCCCCCGAATCGTCCGAATTGATGAAACGACGTCGTTTTGATTTTGAATTTTTTTTTTCTCGTTTATATCTGAACAGGGGAAATAGGGAGAAATAGAGGAGAGAGGGAGAAAGAGAGAGGAGGAGAGGAGAGAGGGAAACAGAGAGAGAGAGAGAGACGACGATGGCGGGGTAGGGCGACGGTGATAGAGGGTGCGAGCAACGGTGATTGAGGGTGCGACGGTGGACGCGACGGTGACCTTGCACCCTTGCGATTTCTTTTTTTTTTTTTTTTTTTTTTTTTTTTTTTTTTTTACTCTGAAGATGAAGATGATGTGTTGATGATGGTGATGCTGATGAAGATGTTGTTGTTGTTATTGATTGTTGTTAATTTTTTCTTTTTTTTAGGAGATCCAAATCTAAAGGGGGGAAAAAAATGTTGGCTGATGATGATGTGATGAAGAAGATGTTGTTGATGATGATAATGTTCATCACCAGCGATCTTCTTCTTCTTCTCTCCTTTTTCTTCTTCTTCTGCCTCTCTTTCTTCTTCAGACAAACGAGAAAAAAGCCAAAAAAAAAAATCTCAAAATGACTTCGTTTTGGAATTTCAGGCCATTCGGGGGCTTCCAATTTTGAACTACGTAGCGCGATTGTTTTTTTAAAATAGTAGAAGGCTAGACAGCAAAAAAAAAACTAAATAAATCATTATTTTAAGAAATTAACATTGCGTCAACCAAATAGAACATCACGGTGAGTGATGCGGATAAAGAGTCAGAGGGGAACAAGAGAAGATGAAAAATAGAGAGAGAAAGAGGCGACAGAGGCGGTGGCAACGGCGACGGCGCATTCGGGAATCCAAGCCAACCAAACCCTCCTCTATCGCGAACCAACGGTTTGACCTATTTTTCAAACATTGGTAGTGAAACAATTTTGAAGCAGCTTACTGATTAGCATGAAATTATGGAGCTCCCAATTGGATTTTGAAACTGTGAGAGGAAGAAACTAGACAACGCTTGTTTTTCCAACTTTGGACAAATTTGAGGTTGGTTCATTGATTTCTTTGATATTTGTAGTTTTGTTTTTGTCACTGCATTTTTTTTTGTTTCTATTGTGATTAGTATATGAGAGGGAGAATTGCGCTGAGATAAGTACGGCCGAGTTACACTAACACAAGTTATCACGACCGGACTGTTTACTCTGTCGGAGCGGCTCCACGGGCCGTAATGCAGGGCCGAGCTGGATCAGTCGACCAGAGCATGGGGTCATTCGTGTTCCTGACCAAGCTGTGATTCGGCTAGGCGTTCGGCTGGGCATTCGTGTTCTTGACTGGGACCGGGCCAAGCATAGCCTAGAATGAATTTAGACCAGCACGAAGGCCGGTGCGCCTCACGGCCAGTCAGTCCGGAAGGACCAACTTCTTACAGCTCGGCCGTATTGATCGTAGCTGTGTTTCTTCAAGGGATAGGTTGGTCTTGATATCCCGGTTGAGTATGCCACCTGGGCCAATGATGTGGTGGAGGGGAAACCCGCTCCAAGCATGCATCAATACCGTTTGGCAATTCTACACGTACTGTTTGGAGGTTTTGGCCTTTACATGCGTAAGGTAGTGAGAGACGAGCACTGCCACTAGGGAAGGACAGCAGAGGTAGTGCGCGCACAATCCCTGAGGCTACATGGCCAGTCTAGAAAAAGAAAGGAAGGGGAACATTGGAGGTAAGCTGTCTGAACAACTCTCCCTCTAAAAAGATCTCTCTTCTTCTTCAAGTGATCTGACTTGATCGTCGGAGGGTCTATCCGACAACACACCACCGGGCAGCTCACTGTTTCTTTGTTTCTAGGTCAGACGTCATTACTTGAAGCTTGAGTTCAAGGAGTACGAAAAGCAAAGGATATTTCACCCCCGTACAATTGGCGCCGTCTGTGGGAAAGATTTGATACACAAACCTTGCGCTTCAAGCTTTTTCGATCGTTTCCATGGCTAACAACGACGAAACTCCACTGTCTGTCGTCGATGGTGTCACACCAGAATTGATTCGTCGGAGAGAAGGCCCCCCAAACATTCCAGCCATGGAAGGCCTAGAGACCTCTTCGAGAGGTGCGCGAGACAAACGCGCAAGGAGTACTGATCGCTTGAAGAGTCCAGAGGGCTGTCGTCGGCGGGGGGATTCGCATGCACAGCGCTTAGAGCACAAACTCAAATATCAGGACGCCCTCATTCGCAAGATGGAGGCTGAAATGGAGGTGTTGAAACGCCAGATCAAGGGGAAGGATGCTGCTGGAGAGGGCAACCTCAGTGAGCGCACCCCGTTTCCTCGTTTTGGCAGTCGCCGCCAAGGAAGGATGCATTCTTTCTCTATCACCAAGAGCTATGGGGTTGGGGACTCCAACCCACAGGAGGGCAAATCTCTTACTCACGACAGCACCTATTGTCTCTCGCGCCCATCGTCGACGTCGCGATACTTTTTTTTGCCCATTCCAGAGACCTGAGGGATATGTTGGAGGAGAGGGCACACCGTAAAGAGACTCAGAGATTGTCGGTGTTGCAGAGGCTAAGTTCCCAAATCCGGTGTAGTGAGGAAGTGGCTATACCAGCGCCCAAAATGGCGGTCCTAGCGCTTGTGGACAAAAAGCTGGCGAGACTTACAGCTACGCCGCTGTCTCCAGAAATCGAGAGTACACCACTCCCTGCCAGATTCCACCAGCCTAAGTTCACCTTGTACGACGGTAGGACGGACCCGTACGTGCACGTGAGTCATTATCGGCAAGTAATGGCTGGACACCGGCGCAATGACGCCTTGATGTGCCTCATATTCCCGGCAAGCTTGGAAGAACTGGGCCTGAAATGGTTCGAAAGGCTTCCGGAGGGGAGTATCGAGGAGTGGCAGCAATTAGCGGAGGCCTTCGCCACCAGATTCAAAACCAACACTCAAACGCCAAAGGAGGTCGACCATCTCCTGGGCGTCAAGATGGAGTTTGGAGGTTCGTTGAAGGCGTATAATGCGAAGTACTGGGAAACTGACAATGAGATCCTCAACTGCCCCACCAATCTGGCGATTACTCAATACAAGCGAGGTCTCCTAGTCGGTCATAGGCTGCGAGATTCGCTTACAATGCACCAGCCCACAACCATGTAATCCTTGATGTAACGGATCAACGAACACATTCGTGTGGAGGATGATGCCTCCTCTGCGACCGAGAAGGATAATCCGGTTGCGGCGGATAGAAGAGTGGCGGGAAGGTTCACTCAGTCGGGCAGGAGGACAACCGCCCAAGCGACCGGTCAAAAGATCAACGTCGTAACTCAAACCGCGATGATAGAAACAAAGGCCATAGAAACGACCGGGCTAGCGCTCCCCGTGATAAAGAGGAAGACGCCAAGAGGAAATTGAAAGCATGAACTGGTATCACCGCGGTCTTTAAGATCTCCATTTACCGCATCCTGAGTGAAATCCGAGGTGAGCCCTTCGTCCGATGGCCGGCGAAGTTGGGAAATGCATAGAAATGCTTCAACTCAAGGTATCGATGCACCTTCCATGAGAAACGGGGGCACCGAACGAAGGATTACTTGCCGCTCAAACAACATTTGGAAGAGCTGGTGGCGGCGGGACATTTGGACCAGTACATAGATGGGGGTATGAAAGCCGCCCCACCTGGGCAAACTAAGCCAAATGGCCTGGCTGCCCTGCAGACAGGGCCCCAAGGCGTAATCAATGTCATCCATGGCATCATTGAACCAACAAGGGTTTGCTAGCTGAGAGGGATGATTAAGAAAGCCGAGCACATAAGGGAAGTGCTCTCTGTTCAGCCCGCTGTGAAGAAAGGAAAGTCCGAAGAGAAGGATATCCTCACATTTTCCAGTAAAGACTTGGAGAGAATTCAAATGCCCCACAATAACGCCCTAGTAGTGACTCTTTGCATCAAGGACTTTGACATCAAAAGGATCTTGATTGACCAGGGGAGTTCGGTCGAAATCATGTGTTACGACGCGTTCAAGCAAATGCAGTTGGAGGACAAGGACTTGGCCCCTGCGACTTCTCCTTTGGTTGGCTTTAACTCTCAGCCAGAGTGGCCGGTGGGAAAGATCATTTTGCCAGTCAAGGCGGGCTCAGTCATAAAGCAAGTAAAATTCTGGGTGCTCAAGGTCCCACCCACCTACAACTTAATCTTGGGCAGGGGGTGGTTGCACGCCATGCAGGCCGTAGCATCAACCTACCATCAGGTTCTGCGCTTCTCGACGCCAACCGGGCAAATAGAAGAGGTTCGGGGAGACCAAGTGATGGCGAAACAGTGTTTTGTTGCGGTGAACGGCAGCCGAGCCGCCAAAGGGTTCGTTCAAATGATAGAGGGACCAGAGGGAAAGGAGGTCTTGGAAGACATGGGAAGAAAGGCCGAAGAGAAATCAGTTGAAGATTTGGTAAAGATGCGCGTAGACGAGAATGACCCCAACAAGTTCTTCTTTTTGGGCTCATCCCTGTCCAGCGCCGAGCGACATGAGTACGTTGACTTTCTGATTTCCAATATGGAAGCCTTCGCATGGACGCCTTACGATACACCTGGCGTCGACCCTAGCTTCATTTTCCATCAGTTGAATGTCTTCCCTAATGCACGGCTGGTCATCCAGAGAACACGCCGCTTGGCCTTGCACCACGCCGAGGTGGTGGCGGAAGAAGTCAAGAACTTGTTGGAAGCCGGGGCAATAGAAGAAGTGCAATACCCCCGATGGATATCCAACACGGTAGTGGTTCCAAAAAAGAACGGCAAGTGGTGGGTGTGTGTTGATTATAAAATAGTCAACCGTGCGTGCCCCAAGGATAGCTTCCCCCTCCCACGGATTGACCAGCTGGTGGACTTGAATGCTGGCCATCAGAGGTTTAGCTTCTTGGACGCATACCGTGGCTACCACTAGATAGCCATGTATGAACCAGACCGAGAGATCACTTCATTCACCACACCGAGGGGCCTGTATTGTTACAAAGTCATGCCGTTCGGACTAAAAAACGCCGGGGTAACTTTTCAAAGGATGATAACCAAGATGTTCGCTCCCCTTCTAGGACGCACTATGGAGGCTTACATAGATGATATGGTGGTAAAGAACAAGGAAAAGTCTCAACACCTCATCAACCTAGCAGAGATGTTTGCTACACTAAAACATCACAAGCTTCGTTTGAATGTTTCCAAGTGCGCCTTCAGGGTCGGCACTGGAAAGTTTCTGGGTTTTCTGGTCATGAACCGAGGGATTGAAACCGACCCATCCCAAATCAAGGCAATACAAGAGCTGGAGCGACCAAACTCCACGAAGGACGTGCAACATCTCGCCGGGATGTCAGCTGCGCTGAATAGATTTATAAGTCGGTCCTCGGATCGTTACAAGCCCTTGTTCAAAACTTTGAAGGCCAAGTTCTTCTGGGATGACGAATGCGACCGTGCGCTGGCGGATCTAAAAGTGTACCTGTCCTCAGCCCCTATCCTGGTTACACCACAGCTAGGCGAAGAACTGTATCTCTACTTAGCGGTCTCTCAACATGCGGTGAGCGCGGTTTTGGTCCGTGCTGAAGGCACCCAGCACCTTTCCATCTTTTACGTAAGCAAGACCTTGCTCCCTGCTGAATCGAGATATCTGCCGCTAGAGAAATTAGCCCTGGCCCTGATGATGGCTTCCAGAAAATTGGCACACTATTTTCTTGCCCACACGATAGTGGTGTTGACCGAGTTTCCACTCAAGCTGTTCTTTGAAAAGGCAGATTTTACAGGGAGAATTTTGAAACGGGCCGTAGAATTGGGGTAGTACGACATCAAGTTCCAACCGCGTACCACGATCAAGGCTCAGGCTCTTGCAGACTTTGTGGCAGAGTTTGCCCCTGGAATGCATCCAGTTCGCCCGGTTGATTTGGCTAGTGTGAATTTGGCACGGCCCATGGTGCAGGCAATAGAGACGAGTGTTGGGTCATAAATGGAAGAAGGACAAATGGCAGCCGAACTGAAAAAGTAGGATAACTCTTCGAAAGACAAGCCTAACCGAGGCATGGAGAAACACCAGAATGAACCGACCGGAACCTTGGAGTTGAGGAGCTCCCAAAACCCATCCGATTGCTGAAAGTTGTTCATTGGCGAGATGTGGAAGCTCTTTGTCGATGGGGCCTCCAACAGACATGGCGCCGGGCGGGGTATCGTGCTAACTTCCCCGGACGGGCTGATTATCGAGCAGGCAATTACGCTCGGCTTCCCGGCGTCCAACAATAAGGCGGAATACAAGGCCCTCCTTGCTGGACTGAGGAGTGCATCAAGAATGAAAGCATCGGCTCTTATGGTATTCAGCGACTCCAAACTGGTGGTCAATCAGGTCTCTGGGGAGTATAAAGCCAGGACTGAAAGAATGACCAAGCATCAAGCGCTGGTGCGCGCAGAAATAAAGAAGTTTACAGCAATAAGAGTGGAACAAATCAACCGTGAAGAAAATAACACAGTTGACGAGTTGGCTGGCCTTGCATCCACGCAAACAGCTTTCCCCAATCTTTTGATGATAGAATTCCTACCTCGGCCAAGCATAAAGGAACCAGAAGTTACCGAGGTACTCTGTATCGACCTGGGACCATCCTGGATGGACCTCATCATCGCTTTCCTAAAAGATAGAATTTTGCCAGAAGAGAAGAAGACAGCCAACAAAATTCGGGCCAAATCAGAACGGTTTTGGCTTTCTCCATCCAGAGCCTTGTACAAGAAGTCTTTTACCGGACCGTATCTGAAGTGCGTCCACCCCGACAAGATTGAAGTTTTCCTTTACGAGATCCATGAAGGCATCTGCGGGAGTCATACTGGGGGCAGGTCTCTGGCTTACTGAGCGATTTCCCAAGGTTACTGGTGGCCGTGCATGCAGGCGAACGCACAGAAATACGTTCGCAGGTGTGAAAAATGCCAGAAATTTTCTCACCAAATCCATCAACCGGCCAGAGAACTGCTCCCTCTTACAAGTTCTTAGCCGTTTGCGCTTTGAGGTTTGGATATTGTAGGACCACTCCCAGCAGCCCCGGGCAACCGCAAGTTCTTCATCGCTGCCACCGACTACTTCACCAAGTGGGTTGAGGCCAAGCCATTGGGGACCATAAAAGGAAAAGACGTGAAGAAGTTTGTTTGGAAAAATGTCGTCACTCGCTTCGGTATACCAAGGGCCCTCATCTCAGATAATGGCACCCAATTTGATGGTAAACTCTTTCGCAGATTTTGCGAGGAGTTAAAGATTAAGTTCTACAACTCCACACCGGCTTACCCTCAGTCAAATGGTCAAGCAGAAGCCTCAAACAAGACCATCCTGGACGGGCTGAAGAAACGGCTAGAAAGATCCAAAGGGAAGTGGGCTGAAGAACTCCCCAACGTGCTCTGGGCATACCGCACCACGCCCAGACGCTCTACCGGGGAAACACCATTCGCCTTAGCCTATGGCATGGAGGCCGTCATCTCACTGGAAATTGGTATGCCAACCATCCGGTCTGAAAGTTTTGAGCCAGACTTGAACAATGAAGTAGTGGCATTGGAACTTGACCTAGCCGAAGAAAGAAGGGAACAGGCTCTGATCCACGTAGCAGCCTATCAGCAAGAGTTCTCCAGGAAATATAACAAGGCCGTGCATCCGAGGCTATTCAAGGTTGGGTCTGGGTCTTAAGAAAGGTGATGGGCAACACGGTAGTCCTTGGCGAAGGGAAACTTGGTGCAAATTGGGAGGGGCCATATAAGGTGACTGGCCTGGCAGGCAAAGGGGCATACCATTTGGAAGACTTAGATGGAAAAGCTATCCCCAGACCATGGAATGCAACTAATCTTAGGATTTTTTACTTTTGAAATGTAATCGTTTTTATTACTTAACCTTTTGAATCTTTAGCCTTTTGGCATTTGATGTAAATCGCTGGCGTGTAATGAGAAATAGCCCCACTTTTTTATATTATGAGCTTCTGCATAATGACATCACAAGGATATTGAGCCACTGAAGACGCCAGGGGCAAGAAGACCAACTTACACTGAGCCAACTTACTTTGAGCCAAACTGACTTTTTCTCACCGGTGTAGAGACAAGCCGTACAAACAGTTGGTATTCTGTCCAAATTGCATGAAGGCTGAGCTGATTTTTGCTCGTCTACAATGAAATGTTGGCGCTTGTCCAACTTCCTTAAGGGCCGAGCTGACTTTGCTCATCCAAGCGAAATGTTGGCGCTTTGCTCGCCCGCGTAAAAAGTTGGCGTTCTGACCAACTTGTGAGGGCCGAGCTGACTTTGCTCGCCCAAACGAAATGTTGGCGCTTTGTTCAACTTCCTTAAAGGTCGAGCTGACTTTGCTTGCCCGTGTAAAAAGTTGGCGTTCTGACCAACTTGTGAGGGCCGAGCTGATTTTGCTCGCCCAAATAAAATGTTGGCACTTCGTCTATTTTCTTTCAGGGCCGAGCTGTCTTTGCTCGTCCGTGTAAAAAGTTGGCCTTCTAACCAACTTGTAATGGCCGAGCTAATTTTGCTCGCCCAAATGAAACGAGCTGACTTTGCTTGCCGTGTGAAATGTTAGCGTTTTGCCAAACTCCCAACTGGCCGAGTTGATTTCGCTCGCCTAACGAATAAGTTGGCGTTTTGCCCAATTCATATAAGGGCCGAGCTGATTTTGCTCGCCCGCAAACTTTGTAGCCGAGCTAAAAGTTGGCATCTATATTTGAAATCGAAGAAAATTTGTACATTACGAGCGAAAAGTAGAATTTTCATTGATAAAGCAAGCTGGGTTACAAAAGTGGGGCCAAGCCCGGTTATATTCAACAAAAAAAAAAAAAAAGAGACAGAAGAGATCAATCTAAATCTAGAAGGACATTTTGTTCGGCCAGGCCCACCTCGGCATCTTCTGTCTCAGCATCAGCGACCGCGACAACCTTTTGCTCGGCCTCACGGTCCTCAGCCCCTTCAGAAGCTTCGGGGGGATTTGGCTCGGCTGGTTGTACGGCGGCTGCCTCTTCCTCAGCTACCTTCTTCGCCTCTTCAATAAGTCTTTTTTGCGCAGCGCTAGCGTAGGCCTGGATATAGGCCGGGATGTAGGCGGTAGGCAGGTTTTGGAACATCTCGGCGTCTTGACCAAGGCCGACTTTTTCCATGGCAGCTTTCCAACTGCATTGGAAAAAAATGTCCTTGGTCGCTTGAACTTGCCGCTCATAAGTCCTTTTACCCTCTGCATACCCGTGGTCTTCAGCATCATCTACCGCCTTGTCCCTCTCGGCTTTGTGGGCATCCCGAAGCTTTCGCAGTTCAGCGAGGCAGCGAGCCTTTGTCTGCTGAACGACCCTCTGCTTGTCTTCTTCAGCCCGGGCCAATTTCTGACTTAGTGTATTATGCTCAACCTCTGCCACCTCCTGCGCGGCCTTCAGCTTAGTCAGCTCGGTCGTCTTGGCCTTGTTGTTGAAAATTACATCCCGCAAACTTTTTTGCACGGCGATCATTCACTCGTGGGCCAGGTAGTTTTTCTGCGCGGCCTGAAAGCAAATGGAGATTGTTAGAATTCACAAACCGAGCAAAAACTTGGTGAACAAGTTAGTCTCTCAACTTACCAACACAATTGATTTTGCTGCCGAGCAAAGCACCTTCAGGTCGGACAGCTCATCGTGCTTCTTCATGTCAGTAGGAAGGATCAGCCCCTTAGTCATATTGAAGCTGAGAGAATAATCCTTGTCCGCGTAGACTGAATCGGCCGCAGAGATAGCCCCGCCCTTGTATTTGAACTCAGGCGACCAGACCGGGGGGCCACTTGGGCGTTTGGATGGCCTGGATATTGGTTGCTCGGTCTGGTTCCCCAAGTTAGTTGAAGCTTGCTCGGTTAAGTCCTCGTCCGCCAGATGTTGTCCGGCCATATCTTTCCTCTGTCTCTTCTTTGACCGGCCAGCTACTTGGTTGCTAGCCAAAGCTAACACAACCCTATTTTTTGGAGCAACCGGCGTGGAGGAAGTCCCCCCAGATGCCTCTGGTGGCTGGGACTCGCTAGCCTCACCGGTGATCATGGACTTAATTACTCGAATCTTGGCCATTTCTTGCTCGGCTGTCAGTGGGACTAGTCTGATCGGTGGAAGACTTGGGTCTGGTTCTGGAGATGGCGCACGTAGAAAGTCGGTTACGCTGCTCTTGTGAGGCGCTGTGTAATGGTAGGTTGGTTCAAAGCCGAGCAACTTTGGTGATTCTCTCTCCTCGACTGGGTGACGCAGCAAAACCCTTATGGCTTCCTGGTTAGCGCGGGAGTAGTCTTCTGCTAAAAGCTTGTAATCTGCAAAAAGATGAAGTTTTAGATCGGCAAGAGAAAAACCAATGCAGAAAGAAGATAATGCGGTTTGCCGAGCTACTAACCAGCACTCCCAAAATCTTTCCTAATGTACCAGCCTGGTATGGGCGCCTCGATGTCCTCATAACGACCGGACACCCACAGGAAATCGTCGTCGTTGATTTCTTTGTCAGGATTACCTTCAATGAGCTTTGCTCGGCCTTTCCTGACTTTTAGATACCAGCAAAGCCCACCTTTATTTTTGCTAAAGGTATATTGGTGAAATATCTCGGCGAGGCCGAGATTTAGACCAAGTATTCTATTTAGCTCGGCCACACCATTTATTATTTTGTATGTATTGTTGGAGATCTAGGTCGGACAAAGCCTCGTCTACCTCAAAAACTCGCAGATCGGGGGCTGGACTGGAAACGTAGTCCTCATTCCACTATGGACACGACGGTAAAGGGACACTTGTCCAGCTCGCCCTATGGGGTATCCCCTTTCTTGGCCAGCTCTAGAT